AGTGAAGGTTAATTATAGATTTAACATTTAAATCTTACAATTAGTTAGTTGTAATAATGGTGGTAGATATCCATCAAATCTACTAATGAATAAGTACATGTCATTGCTCTAAGTTTCTACATGAAAAGCCAGACAAACATAGCGGGCGTAAGTTATGCAAATAATATGCTAAATATTTTCGACGGATATGTGATTTGTAATATGAATCGGCGAAACGATGGATAGTCCTGAATTATACGTCTTTCAATTTGGATATGAGATTCGTGAATATACGAACATATTACGCGTAATCGATAATTATACGACGTTATAGATTTGGCTGTGCGAGTCGTACACTAATACACTATGCGAAAAAAATCTCACATATGCAATGCTTGATTTGTATATGCGATATCAAAATATGCCAACCTTTCTCGCATATGTTAAATTATACAACAGATTTAGATATGCGATTACAAAATATACAAAAATATTTCGCGTAATTATTAACTATGCATCCGATTTGGATATGCATTGATATATATGCAACAAAATCTCGCACAATTGTTACTTATGCAGTTTATTTAGATATTCTAGTATTATATAGCATAATATTTCGTGTCTTGTGTGGGTTAAAAAAGATTTTTTTTGTTTTTTTTTTTATGAGATAGTGTATTAAAGAAATATCATCATATACATATAATGAGGTGTTGTTAAAATGTATGCCCATACACGTATGTATGTATGCATGCATACATGTATGTATACTTTCCGAGTAATACTTTCCTCCACACAAACAACAAACATAACGAATTTATTCTCCTAACTTGCTCCGAATTCCTCGGATGTTCTAAGCGGCTAGATAATAATACAATCATCCCCTAACTTTTATTTCAAAAATATTCAATGCAATAATTATTAAAAAAAAAACAAATTTTTAATGAAACTACACACGGATTATATCCAAAACAATTGAACATAAAAAAAAAATATTGCTCCTAACAATTTTACATTTTAAAATGAAATTTTACAACTCCTCCTAATAGAATTTTTTAAGGTTCTTTACATTTTACATACAATTTGTTCATAGTATCAGAAAATTTCTATCATTTGTTGTGTACGACATTTATGTCTTTCAATCGAGTTTATTAATATCTTCCTGGAAAAAAATTCATCCATAACAGATATAAGGTGTGTCACACACGATCACAATTCTGTTATGGCAGAGATTTCTCCTGAAAAGAAATCCGGTTGTGGCCTGTTAAGTGCTGTTTTCGGCGGCAGAGGTCTATGGCCTCGAAAACCCGACAATTCGGCCAGGAATCCGACCCCGTCGGCCCACAAAACCCAGACCGACGAGCAGGATCAGAAACAAGGAGACCGCATCATAGCCCGGCCAGGCCCGAACCACTCGAAATCTCCCCCTGTCTATTACAACCAGCATCAGGGCCCGCATGCATACAACCAAACCCAGCCCAAGAACGAAATGGGCTACGTGCAGGGCCGAAAGCTCCCACAGGCCGCGCTGGGGCTGTCGGGCGAGCTCGACGGCATGATCGCCGATCACCAGAAGTCGAAGGGGGCAGGGAATTTGGTCCGGGCCTCGTCTGGCAACGTCATGTTGTTCAGCAATCTCGGCAACTTGAGAGGGCCGGGGAGTTCGGACACCTACACAAAGGAGGTGCACGGGCAGGTGACCGGGAAATATTCCTCCGCGGGCAACAAAAGGGAATCAGGGNGAAAAGCCCGTTTCTCTTTGCCGGGCCATATCAACCCGGATGGACCCGGAGCAACTAAAGATTTTGGGCAACGAGGATTACAAGAATGGGAGGTTTGCCGAGGCCGTGGCTCTCTATGATGCGGCTATCTCCATTGATCCAAACAAGGCCTCTTACCGAAGCAATAAAAGCGCGGCACTAACTGCCTTGGGGAAGCTTCTCGAGGCGGCCTTTGAATGTCGGGAGGCTATCCGAATCGACCCTTTTTACCATCGTGCTCATAATAGATTGGCGACTCTTTACGTCAGGTAATTACATTCTACAAAATATTCGTTTCTTATCTTAGCTCACGATAATATAGCATTTATTTTAATGTTCTTGATAGATTGGGAGAACCCGAAAAGGCCATGTACCATTTCAAACAAGCGGGATCGGATGCGGATCCGGATGCTATGAACAAGGCTAAAAAGGTCCAATTCCATTTACACAAGTGCACCGAGGCAAAGAGTCATCGAGATTGGAACGCGCTTTTAAAGGAAACCGAGTTTTCGATTGCAGCTGGTGCTGATTCTGCGCCGTTGGTGAGTCGATCACCATATGTGTGACATCTTTTTATTTTTCCCCTTTATTCTGATGATTCTTGATTGGAATTTATTTGTGTTTTGTGCATTATTTGGTGAAGATATTAGCTTTGAAAGCTGAGGCCTTGCTGAAGCTCAACAGGCACCAAGACGCAATCGATGCCATTGCCAACGGTCCGAATTTCGACATCGATGAATGCATGAAATTCTTTGGTCCTATTGGGAGTGCATCACTCTTGGTCATTCGTGCTCAACTCGATATGATCGAAGGGAGGTTAGAGTCTTCATCTCTTATTTTTCCATGTAGCTCTGATCACTTTTTAGTTCCCATAAAAACAGAAAAGTTACAATCATTTCTCTCGTAACACCATAATAATGACAACAAAAAAAAAACACCAGGTTTGATGATGCTATAACAGCAGTACAACGCGCATCACGGCTGGACCCCAACAACCGAGAGGCAAATGCAGTCCTACACAAAACGAGAGCTGTTGCTACTGCCCGGGCCAATGGCAACGATCTCTTCAAGGCATCTAGATTCCAAGAGGCATGCAACGCGTACGGTGAAGGACTAAACCACGACCAATACAATGCGGTTCTATTGTGTAACCGAGCTGCATGCCGCTCCAAACTCAGCCAGTACGAAAAGGCAGTCGAGGACTGCAATTCTGCATTAAACGTTCGCCCGTCTTACACCAAAGCAAGATTGAGACGTGCCGATTGCAATGCCAAGGTGATTACTAGTTAATATATTAATTCTTCATTAGCGTACGCATGTATTGTTACGGTGATTGACTTTTGCGTTTGTTTCGTGTGGGGGCGGAAGATGGAGAAGTGGACGGCTTGCTTACAAGATTGCGAGGTGTTGATGAGGGAAAATCCGGAGGATGAAGAGGTTTGTCGGATGATGAATGAGGCGAAGCAACAGCTACTACTACGTTAGATGCATCGATTATAAGCTTGTTCGTCATTGTATTAATGCTTCGTTTTATTGGTGCGACGGTCTCATATTTTTCGCAATGTTTGAATTTTATTTAATTTTATTTTTTTTATTTTTTTGGAATTCTTGTAGATATGTGATAATAGTGTGTAGATGATGGGACTAACTTGTTAGAGGTACAAATAACAAAATTAATGTTTGTGTAATGCAATTTATATAAATGAAACAAAAGAATTATATAATATACATTTTATTTCTTATAATTTTTAGTATTTTTGCTAGCTATGGGAGACTATCGGGGAAAGAATCCACTGTGGAGGGAGGAAATGAAGCCCAGCTCATTTTGGGCTTTGGGAAATAGGGCCCATACTGAATACAAAATCAGACGAGAAAACCTATGAGGGAAGCCCACTGAAAATATTGTTGTAATCTATATATCTATATAAACAAATTTATCATTTTTAAGTATAGCAAGACAATTTTTTGGTCAAATCTCTTTCTTCATTAAATGTTTTCTACTTATGGCAACTTCTTTTCTTTTTTTACACGTCCAGCACAAATTAATATCCCATCCCCCTATATATAATCCCGAATGCGCTTAGCCTAAGTGGCATGCTCGCATGCTTCGGGATCCTAGATGTCAAAATTTTATGTTTCATTGTTTGACTTGAATAAATTTTAATTTAATTAATCCCAAAATAATTAGTTCGGATTACCATAAATATGTTGATTTATTTATGATTATTTTAGATATATTAATTGTATCTTAATATCATTTCCTAGTATAATAATTGAATTGTAAATATATTTTAAAAGTTGATAACTTTTGTATTTCTTATCGGTTTTACATATATAATATATAAAATTAATTATCTTTTGATGAGCTTCGATTTGACATCCATGTTGATATATAAAATAAATAAATTATATTTATCTTTATAATAATAATAAAATTATTTATTAAAATTAATTAAAAAATAAAATTATTTCTCAATTAATAGATTTATGTTTTTGTAATTATAGGTTATAAGTTTGAAAAATTATTATAATATAACACGGGTAAGGCACACAAATAACAAGTATCATACTAAAATATATAATTATATATATTTTCTTATAAAAAATATTTAAATTCTCAACCACTTATTTCTCATTAATTTTAAATTTAAATTTAAAAAAAATAAAAAAAATAGCATCACCCGTGTAATTCGGCCGCATTTGGTCAAATCTCTTTCTTCATTCCCCACAATTTGCAGCGTTAATTAAATTGAAAGTCAATCCACACAATAGTCGTTACATTTCATTCCCACAAATACGGCCGTATCCCCATTTTTTTTTT